ATTAACATTTGTTTTGCAACCTGACATATGATGTATCCTAGATGATTTTTTGTGCACTTGAGAAAAATGTGTATGATGTTTCTTTTCTTTTTCTTTTTTTTTAAAGATTTTATTTTATTTTTTCCTTTTTCTCCCCAAAGCCCCCTGGTACATAGTTGTATATTCTTCGTTGTGGGTCCTTCTAGTTGTGGAATGTGGGACGTTGCCTCAGCGTGGTTTGATGAGCAGTGCCATGTCCTTGACCAGGATTCGAACCAAGGAAACACTGGGCTGCCTGCAGTGGAGCACGCGAACTTAACCACTCGGCCATGGGGCCAGCCCCTCTTATTTTTCTTAAAGATTGGCACCTGAGCTAACATCTGTTGCCAATCTTCCTTTTTTTTCTTTCTTCTCCCCGAATCCCCCCAGTACATAGTTGTATATCCTTTTGGCTCTGCTATGTGGGACCCTGCCTCAGCATGGCCTGACGAGCTGTGCTAGGCCTGTGACCAGCATCCAAACCGGTGAAACCCAAGGCTGCTGAAGCAGAGCAGGCAAACTTAACAGCTCAGCTAGGAGGCCAGCTCCTGTGATGTTGCTGTTGAATGGAATGTTCAGTTTATGTTTATAGGTCTATTAAGTCCTAGTCTAACATGCTGTTTAAAGACACTGTTTCCTTATCGATTACCTATCTGGATTATGTATTCATTGGTGAAAGTGTGGTGCTGGTGGTTCCTATAAATATTCTGTTGCAATTTATTTCTCCATTTAGGTCTGATAATATTGAGTTTATATTCTTAAATGCTCCCATGTTGAGTGCATATATATTAACAAATATTATCCCCTTTTGTTAGATTGACCCATTTAGCTTTATATAATGATATACTTTGTCCCCTATTGTGGTCTTTTGTCTTAAAATCTATTTTCTCTGGTATAAATATAGCTAGCAGTTTTCTTTTGGTTTCCATTTGCTTGGGAAGATAGTCCATGGAAATGAAATTGAAAAGAGTCTATATTTTAAGGTGACTTAAACAATAATAAAAATCATCTTATATTCTAACCTATGTAGTTACTATTACCAGTATTCTTGATTCTTTTCTCTATACCATTGTATCACTCTTGTATCATTTCCCTTTTACTTGAAGGTTTCCTTTAATATCTGTTGTTGCATATTTCTGTAGGTGATTACTTATTTCATCATGTATATATCTCAAAACTGTTTATTTTACCTTACTTTTCAAAAACTGTTTCTGGGAAAGTTTCATTTATTCATTTTTAGTTTGAACATGATGCTACTCTGTCTTTTGATTGCATATTTTTTATTGATATAAACTTGCTGGTGACCTGAACTTTTATCTCTTTTTACACTGTGTCCTGTTTTCCTCTGGTTGTTTTTAAAAAATTATCTTTATTTCTGATTTTGAGTAATTTGTGCCTTGGTAAATTTTCTATCTTTATCATACTATGAATTGCTGAGCTTCCTGCATTTGTGGATTTATCATTACCATCACATTTGTAAATTTATATAATTTGGGGAGTTACTTAAAAAGTATCATATCTTTCTTCTCGTCTCATTCCTCTCTTTTGTCGTGTCTATCATATGTATATTAGGCTGTCTTAAATTGTCTCACAATTCATTCTTCTTCTTTTATATTTTAATATTATTTTTCTTTGTGTGTTTCATTTTGTATAATTTCTATTGGCATCTTCAAGTTTATTAATATTTTCTTCTATGATGTCTCATCTGTCATTTTCCTTATCCATTATATGTTTTTATTTGTGACACATTAGTTTTCATGTCTAGAAGTATTTTTTTTGTATTCTAACTAAACTATAGACTTCATTTTTGTTTTCCCAGTTTTTCTAGTAATGTCTTTTTGTATTACAATCTAGGATCCAGTCTTCATATCTGTTCACTAGATACAACTCAGGATATCATATTGCATTTTTTATTATTTTATGTTTCCTTTTCTTTTTTTCTGAGTGAGGAAGCTTCACTGTGAGCTAACATCTGTTGCCAATTTCCTCTTTTTGCTTGAGGAAGATTTGCCCTGAGCTAACATGTGTGCCAATTGTCCTCTGTTTAGTATGTCGGATACCACCACAGTATGTCCAGTGATGAGTGGTATAGGTCTGCACCCAGGAATCAAACCCAGGTCACCAAAGCAAAGCACACTGAACTTATCCACTAGCGCATGGGGCAGCCCCCTCATTGTTTTCTTAACATCCTCTGTGATAGACTCTGTTTTTCATGAGATTGTTATTTTTAAATGGTACTGGTCTGTTATTTTATAGAATGTTCCTCAATATGAGTTTGTCTTATGTTTTCTCATAAATATATTGGGACTTTAGGATTTAGAAAGAATACCACCGAATTAGGGCACCCTTCACATTGCATCAAATTATCATGTACAGTACATCAATATGACTTCACACTGGTTGTGTGAACATTAGTTATTTGGTTAAGGCTTGTGTTTCTCCATTGTAAAGTTATTTTTTTTCTTTCTGTAGTTTAGTGTTAGAACCTCATCAATGCATCCAGTCAACAATGAAGGGAAGTAGAATTAATCTGCTGAGAGAAGCACAGCAAAGAAATATTAATGAACTTGTGGATATATTTTAAAACCACAACAGTAATTAACAAATAACTTAAGGAAGTGCTTTGAGAATGCACAGATAAAAATTTGCTTACAAATTCAAATTTTGGCAGTATTTTATAAATTTTGCCTACAAAAATGATTAGAATCATTTATGTGGTGAATTTGTTTTCTTATTCCATCTACATTTATTAGTTGGGATGCTTCTCTAAGAAAGAGCTATCACTTCTCTTCATTTTTTTAAAAAAGTAATCATTTATTTATGTAAGTACTAGTTTATGGATCTCTTTTATTATAAAAAAACACTAAGATAATTCATTTTTATAATAAATTAAAGCAAAAGAAAGAGCATATCTATTAATTACCACCAGAAAATCCGTCCATCTAATTACACTTGTATATACACACATTCATCTTTCATCTATTATGAGAGGTGAGGACTCCAATATCTTTTGCCTATCATAACTTCTATTTTTATTGGATAATTCCTCCAGTATATTAACATGCAGATATTTCTGGTATCCAAAAAAGATCTCCTAACTTCACAGTCATTCCAAGCTAATATATCATAACTCACATGACTTTTATTATAAAATTCCTCAAAATAATATCTCATAATTTTACACTTTCCAGTGCTGCTTCTCTCAATCTTTCATAAGGCTGTTCCATCTGAGTTTTTTCTGCATATATAAAAAACCTGAGAGAAAGGTCGTTTATTATCTACATTATTCTTGCACCAATAGTCAAATTTAGGAGCACTATTGGATAAGGTGAATATACTCTTCTATTAAAAACATTATATTCTGGACTACAGAAAAAAGCCCCCAGTGTTCCTATCTAATAAGGTGTTCTTTTTCTGTTCTTTCATTTGTCTTTCAGAATGTAGAATTCTAAGTTACCACCTTAGGATTGGTGGCCTTCTCCATATAACTCACTTCCCTATGCTGTCACAATTTCCTTATATATTATATATTGATATATATTTACATATATTAACTTTTATTAAAAAAATATATATATTAATATACATCTCTGAACCAGGGTGTTTTTTTTTTCTGAACAGCATTAATTAATCTATTTGCCTAAATATATATTGATTGAGTGATACTAAGTTCTAGTACTGATCTAGGCATTTTGCAACATAACTAAAAGTGACATAAATAAAAATTTCAGCCTTATAGAGCTTACATTTTTTTTGTGTGTGTGAGGAAGATTGGCCCTGAGCTAACAATTGTTGCCAATTCTCTTCTTTTTGCTTGAGGAACATTCTCACTGAGCTAACATTTGCCAACCTTCCACTATTTTGTGTGGGATGCTGCCACAGTGTTGCTTGATGAACAGTGCTAGGTCTACATCTGGGATCCAAACCTACAAACCCTGGGTTGCCAAAATGGAGTGAACGACCTTAACCACTACACCACCAGGCAGGCCCTTGAAGCTTATATTCTGTAATGGATGAATTCTAAAAGTAATAAACAAATGCATAAATCATTGATATTTTAGAAGAAGAAAGGGGAGACAGAAACAGGTCGGAGTAGCCAGATGCATGAAAGACTGAGGGTTGGCTAATAGAAAATTAATTTCTATTGTTCTGTGATGGGACACAGTGAAATATAATATAATAATAAATATAATATTTAAGCAAAGTCTTGAAAAAGTGAAGGTGATGACCTTATAAATATCTGGGAGAGGAATGACTGAAAAAGAGTCATAGTGCAAATGCCCAACTGGGTTGGATTTTAATACTTTTTTATAAAGTGAGTGCAGATAGAAATGAAATAAGATGAAACATGAGTTAGTAATTGTTGATATGATTTCAACCAACTTTCAGCATCTCACATATCCTCTCTTAACAAAATTCAAAACATTCAAATAACTTTCCCTCCCTCGCTCTGCTCTCCTTAGTGTTAGCCAATAGTGAGTTTCTCCCTTCTCTGAAAAGGGAGTTAAAAAGCTGATTTAAGTAATTGTAGATGGTGACAGGTGCTGGAGATAGAAGCAGCAATTTTTAGCAAGTGCTACTGGGAGGAGAAAAATATTATGTATTTTAAGTGAGAAGGAGGATCTCAACAACGTGAAATTTCATGAGATGGAGAGATGGTGCTAAGGTTAAATATGGATGACTTCTAACCTTGCACCTGTAGCTATTGCCCTCAGGTAAGACAAATATACTTTAACTACTGGATTGAGAGAGGTATGGTAATGCCCAATGGGTCTTTGATTCCCATCATAATTCTGAGCTTAAATGCCAAGAGTTTGACTGACACTTTCATGTAAAAAAATTAAAGTATATATGTATTTATTATAATTCAGAATACCATAATTTGAAGGTTTTGAATAGTGGCCTTGATTTTCCACTGGGATATAGGACTTATATAATGTATTTTCTATATCTATCTCCAATGCTTTCCACTGATCCCGAAGTTTCTTTCTGAATGGGTTAGCAGTGTTGGAAGGACTGAGAAGAAAGAAATAATTTATCAAGGACACAGGCAAAGTAGTAGACCAAGAGTGTTTTCAATTGCTGAGTCACAACGGTGAGATCTTTATATTCCTCCTAGCAAAAGTCGTGGAAAAGTGAGGGGCTTGCTTTTAGGAGATCATATTAAGCAGAAATGTGTGCTGAGTTTCCTAGGCAGATGGGGTCACTGGTTTTACTCTGCAGATGGGCATAGCCAAATGTCTGGGTTCTCTGCTTATGTGACAAAATAAATGGCTCCAATATGGTCTACATAGTTTTCCATGTACTTTCATTAGATTTCTTGGTTAAGTGTGTCTGAAGGCTGTATTCAGCAGTGGGCAGGGCCCCAAGGTTGGAAAGTGTCATTATTTTGGGACTAAATAAGTCAGAACTTCACACGCAGCTCCCTGGCCAGAGGGGGTCACTGATTATCCCTGTACAGAGACAGAGTGACTGCCTGGGATCACTGCTTAAGAGCTTCTGGGATATGCAGCTTTCTGGGTGCTCTGGCCAAGTTTCCTAGTCAGGCAAGGCTGAGAGTAGTGCTCAGCAGCAAGCATGATTATGAATTAACTTCCCTGCCCAAGTAGAGTAGCAGAACAGGCTCCAAGGCTAGAAATTCCCATTTTTTATGGTCCTGCATGAAGTATAACTGTGAACCAAGTGCCCTGGTCAGATGGGGCATTATATTGTGTCTATAGATGGGCAGAGCTGCTGGTGGGGAGTTATACTCTGTTGCTGCTTAGGGTAGATCCTCAGTCTGTCAAGAATTGAGTGCCAGTTGCTGTAAGCCCAACCCTCCTTCTCTGTCATAATCTAATCTCCAGTGTACAGCTCTGTAGAATCCCCCATAATTCTTGTGAGCTAAGACCTCAACAGGCCTCCCAGGAAGCAACTTACATCCTGGGGAGCTTGATGTTCACCTTGGGCTCTCTTTTTCCCACTGGAGTAACCATTAGCCAAGGGAGACCTTCTCAGTGGGAAGCTTTGTTAGTCTACGGGAGGGGCAATGCTGTCAGAGTGTGGCTCTTTCCTTTATACTTCTATTGAAGCCCTTCTTAGTCTCTGTGGTCCAGAGGGGTGCTTCAGGCTCTTGCCTGTGCTCAAGGGTCTTCACAGTGGTGTCTTGTCTATAGATAGTTACTAGTGATTCTTTCTCCAATGGAGACTGAATTTGAGAATAACTTATATCATCATCTTGATGATGTCAGTCTTCTCTAGCACATAATTATCTCTAGTTTCTTAGAAAAACTAAATTTATTTGAATGATTAAACCTTTACATACTCTTACTTTATCCCTGTCGATAGTCTCTTGTGTGTTAATCAAGGTGTTAAACATGACTATCACAAAGGTAATGTTTTTCAATGAATCAGAAATGCATATTAATTAATATTTCTCTTATATTTGTGTTATAAGTAATTATCACTTTAATGTAATATTCATACATTCATTACTCAAGAGGATAATGAAAGCATTATACTTTATTATTTTTGTTGAAAGTTTATGTTATTAAGGAACATTTTAACAAGACAATATAAAAAGTCATATGAGTTTTGCAATGATTCTAAGATGTGGCAGATTACACTTTCCAAGTGCAAGTACCAAATTATTTTCCATCCTACATGCTGTATTAGAGTCGGCTACTTTTCCAAGAAGAGGTGAAGCCTATGTTCTCACAATTAAAGTAGAGTCGATTTTTTGACTGTCTTGACTGTTAAAGTATGGCAGAAATTATTCTGAAACTAGTACTTCTGATTTGTATTCTTAGGATAATTGCACTTTTAACCCAACCACCATTCTGTGAGGAAGCCCAACTAGTCCAAAGGGAGACCCAAATGGAGAGTTATTAACATCCCAAGCCTCCAGCTCCAACTGAGCTTCAAGTCAACAGCCTGCACCAACCTGCCAGCCATGTGAGTGAGCCATCTTGTAACTGGAACTTCTAGACTCCAGTCAAGTTGTCCCATCTGATATCAGGTCACATCTGACAAGAGCCACCTACGCTAAGCCCTGTCCAAATTTCAAATTTACAAACAAAATAAATAATTATTGTTTTACTTCACCAATTTTTATTAGTTTGTTTCACAGCAATAGATAACTGAATCTAATTCTGTGCCAGAAACGGGAAGATGCTGAGATAAGACTAAAACCTGTATCACTGGCTATTGAATTGGGTTGTGGGAAGAACCTGTAAGAGCCCCAAGGAAACTGTTAGTTAAAGGTTAAAAACCTTGAGAAAAGTATTAATATTAGCTCAAAGGGCCTCAAGGAGATTTTTGATTAGAGCCTAAAGAAAAGCAAAGTCAAAGTTACTGGAAGCTGGAAGAAAGTAGACTCCTATTATGTAGTGATGTACTATACTTTTTATGTGGTAACACAGAAAATAGGGGTTATACTGAGTAAAATTGATGATCAAGCTAATGGAATTTTCATGCACAATATTGAGAGTGCTACCTGACTTCTCGCTACCTGTGATGAACCAATGGAGAGAGAATTTGAAAATAAACTATTAAATATGTGAGTCAAGGTTTTACAGGTTCAAAAATAAGTTTCTTGCCTCTCAAGATGGCAAATGATTCTCAAATAAGAAAAGATCTCAAACCAAAAAACAAATACATAGGTCAATTGGAACATAGAAACATATATAAACAAAGGCCCTCTAGAGAGTTATGCCTTGCAGATCTTCTCTTTAGGAGAATTTCTATAAATCTTAAGGGCATATTTTCCATAGCAGCTTCACAGGGAGCCCAAGCTAAAGAAGAGTTTATATTAAAGAGATTTGTCATTGTGTCCTTGATATAATGGAGTGGATCCCTATGATATTAGTAGAAAATCCACCTAAATTTTAAGAGAATAGTTATAGTTCCCAGGTTGGTCCAAAAATGACAGAGAGAACACTAAATTAAAAGAAATCTTTGGATTTCAACATTTTGTGTGCAAGAAGACTAAGGAAACTATGTAGTTGCAAACTGTGTTGTTATAAAAAAAGGAAGGAAGATCTTGGCTGGGACCAAAATCACAGAAGCTGAACCAAGAGTTAAATCGATGGAGCCAAGAGTTTTGGAAAAATTTTCCTGAGAGCAGTACTAGACCCTAATAAGAAGACTAGCAATTTATGCTAAGTTGGATTGCAGAATTTATATGTGTATTAACCATATGTTTTTTTTTCTATCTTCTGATGCTTTGACATCTAGGCCCTCCCTGACCATGGAACTCCTCCCAGGGTTTGCTAATTTCCAGAGACAGAAAACAACTCACCTGTGAATGCATCACTTATATGCAAAGCAACAAATAAAGAACACATACACCCAGCCACCTTCTTTATTGGGCTTTCATACTCCAGGCCACTTGCCCTAAATACCCCAGGCCCAGTTACCAGACAACTAAACACAACGTTACATCTTGGAGCTTACTGAAATTATCCAAATTAGACAATGCTAAGCCTACTTAGCCTGACTTGTCCTTTCCTTTCCAATGAAACACAATAAAGGCTTTTGCCCATGTTTTCTCCTCATTCCCTCTGCCACCTAATTGACTTTGCTACTTCCTCATGTGGCCCTCATGGAATGTCATGCCCCTTTCTCTTGTTGTCTGTGAGCATAACACATTACCTTTTCCATGGCAGACATCTCCTGATCTTTGCTTCACCATACCTGAATAATAATAAATCCATATTTTAAAATATTGTGGACCAAACTACCACTTTGCCTCTTGTTTACCCTTGTTTTGAATAGGAGTGCCTATTGTGGTCATCCTACAACCAATCCCACTGTGGGTTGAATATGTGTGTCAAGAGAGGGGATGGGTCACCTTCCCACTCTCTAATTTTCAACCAATATAGCTAGAAGTTTATCAATTTGATTGACATTTTCAACAACCAACTTTTAGTTTTATTGACATTTTTGTCTATTTTTCCATGTTAAGTTCTGCCTTTCTGTGAATGAGACTATAAAATTCAATTACCTTGTTCACAGTCAAACCCTGTTGTTAAAATTCCTTTTCTTCCAAAGATGATAAAATAGGGTAAAATAAAATTACAAAATAATATATAAATCATCATAAGATAGATTGATGTCCAGAGCAAAAATAAATAAAACTCACCTAAACAAAAGGAAAGGGGTGAATATGAATGACTTAAGTGAATTTCCATAATTAGCTATAAGAGTCATAAAGAATCACTTTCTATCTGCATTATTTTACTCATGGATGAAATTTTTTAATGTCTGCAGAAAAAATGTGCAGTACATTGGGGCCAGCCTCGTGTTGCATCAGTTAAGTTCATTCTGCTTTGGCAGATGAGGGTTCGCTGGTTAGAATCCCAGTCATGGACCTAGACATTGCTTAACAAGCCATGCTATGGTAAGTGTCCCACATACAATGTAGAGGAAGATGGGCATGGATATTAGCTCAGGGTCAATCTTTGTCAGCAAAAAAGAGGAGGTTGGGTGGTGGATGTTAACTCAGGGCTAATCTTCCTCCAAAAAAAAAAAAATGTGCTGGTTGTTTAGGAACAGTGGCCGACATAAGGGTTCTATGAGGGTTATTATCCTAAAAACTCCATATGCATTCCCTTTGTATTCAACCACTTAGTCCTCTTCAAATCCCAGGAAATTGCTGATATGTTATCAATGGCTATCAATTTGCCTTTCCTATGTCATATAAGTGGAACCATGCAATATACACTTTTTTGAGTCTGGCTTTTTTACTTTGCATAATGCATTCAACATTCATGCTTCTTGTTACATGAATGAATAGCTCATTATTTTTGTTGATGAATGTTATTCCATCTTATGACCGCAGTATAGTCTGTCTACCCATGCATCTGTTGGAAGACAATTTGGTCACTTCCAACTATGGACAATTATGAATAAAGCTACAATAAATATTTGTGTCAAAGTTGAAATTTAGTTATTTGACTTAAGTGCTTAGCTTTAATAGCCTGCTTGTTTGAGCAATTGATGTCTAGGTTCACATGATGGACTAGATGGGCCAGTTGAAAAGTCTATTCAGCAAATGAAAGGATAAATTATTTGGAGAAAGATTAAATTCTGTGGACTCTCTATGGGTTTTGGTAAACAATAACCAGAATTCAACTGTAAATTATTACATATACCAAGTCATATATGATTTAAAACTAAGGAAAAAAAAGACTTTAGAAACTAGATCATGGGTAATTCAGACATTGAAGTAAAAAATATAAGAACTTCAAAAACCTTCCAATCGGTAATAAATTCAAGAAAACGGAGACAGAAATACTCTTATGCAAAGAAAAATTTCATTAAAGAATGAGATTCTATAAAAAATAAATAAATTGATATTCTAAAATTGTAAACTACAGTATAGGAAATTGAATTCTTTGGGTGTGTTTAAGGAAACATGCAAACTTCTGTAAAGTATTTTCTATGGGATGGAGATAATCTGTTGCTTTGAGGTTTATTAGAACTTAATGTAAGCTAATATGAATATCATGCCATTCCAATTTAAGATTTTTTAATACCAAATCAACATTATTTATAATTATTTATAAATGTAATGTATGTTACCTAAAAACACAGTTTGAATTAAACTACTCACACAGTAAAAGCCATCATCTTCTGTGTATAATCTGGTAAATGATTACTTGTTGTCATACACCATTGTAACAACATATAAGCAACCTTAAGCATGATGCATTATGAATCCAGGAAAGTGATAAGTGCTGGAGAATAGGGAAAGGAATGAGATAAGCAGGGTTCTCCTTGGCTTTTCAATTCTATCAGTTGGATTTTCCTTTTCAAAAAAATAGTTCCTCAAGCATTGCAAGATGTTAATATTTTATAAACTGCTTTATACTATTTTTATATTTATGAACAAAATAACGTTTAATTTTTAAATTATTAAATTTATAGGTATTTTCAGGAAGGCATCAGTTAACTGTAATTATATAAAATTACAGTCTCAGAAGCCACACTGAATAGAATTATAAAATTATAATGTTGGGCTAATTCATTAGCTTGAAAAATATAAATATTAATGTACCAAAAATTAAAAATGGTAAAAATACTAGGAACAAAGAAAAATATTTAACTTATATCTTAAAAATTATATGAATTCTTATTTCTATTCACCTATGGCTATCTATAGTCTTTAATTTAGAAGAAAAAATAATATAGCTACATAAATTGTATGTACTAAATATAAAAATAATATATGAGATTGGACAAAGGAGGATTATACGTTAAGATTTCCTGGAACAAGTCATCTTTGATCTTTTGGACAATTGAGATTTAGTCAGGGACATTAAGAGTAAACAGACAAATGAAAGCAAATGCAGATATGATGATTTTTAAAGAAGAAACATCTATCAAGGTGTTAGCTGTAGGATGACAATAAGTTTTGTACCATATCCCAATACACCGGAGCTGTCCAAGAAGATGGAGATCATTTATGTCTGTACAGATGTTATCGTCAAAATCCACGTAATTTCTCTAAAGACTAATGATAAGTAACACATTATTGTTGTACTCAACTGAAGTCACCACTATGGAAGAAAGACTCCATTCCAACAAACAAATGTCAATCAACGTCAGTCCTAATACCTACCTGCTCTCTTATCATGTTACATTTTCAGTACAGCAGTCCAGTGACCGTGGCAGCTTTTAATATAGAGGATGGAGCATTTCAGAAAGTGACACCATAGAAACAGGGCATTTTCTCACTTGCAACACCTTCCCATGCACTTCCTCAGATCCCCCACCACTTCTTTGTTCCTCAGGCTGTAGATGAGTGGATTAAGCATAGGAGTCACTATGGTGCCAAGCACAGTTCCAATCTGGTCTTGCTCAGGTGTATGGGAAGAGGTGGGTGTCATGTATATAAAGATGGCCTGACCAAAGTAGAGACTCACCACTGTCAGGTGGGAGGAACATGTGGCCAGTGCTTTGTTCTTGCCTTTGCAAGTGTTCATTCTGAGGACACAGAGGAAGATGAGAGTGTAGGAGGCCAGGATTAGAATAAATGGGACCAGAAGAAATACAATGGTTGACACAAATTTCACCATCTCATAGGCTGAT